TTTTAAACTCTGCTCCTAAGTTCAAATACATGTCATGAAACTTACCACATATTAGACAACACACTGATCAACAAAGGTCTGTACAGGAAATGAAACTCAGTTCCCATCAGACCAGCTGTGATATGAAGCAAGATTAAGAGCTCAACACTATCTGAAAGAATGTAACTGTTGATTTCCGCTCTGTGACTAAACCCCACTCATCTCTGAAATAGCAAAAGTATATACGTTATTCAAAAGAACAGACCAACTGGGGTCTCCAAATAGATAGGAAGTCCTTTTGTGCTAAAATCTGCAAGCTTGGTTAAATCAAATTCACTCACATGTAAGTCATACGAATACTGGTTAGGAATTCACACCTCCTGGGTAGCTTTGCCAATTTTCTAAGTGAGTGGTATTTTCTCTAATAGCAAATAGTTGTGCAAAGTAATAAGGTGAAATCCAGTCCTGGGGAGATGGAGAGCACAAAGCTTATACTGCTTAAACTGCAATGCAGGAGGCTGAATTTCACCAAAAGTAAATGATTTTAGTGGGTTTTTCTAAGTGAGGTTACCAGTAGTTTTAAACATCACAGCCTTAGATACTGCATGACATGGGTCCAACTCTGCTCCTACTAAAATCAATATGGGCTCATATACCAAAAGAGAGTCATGCTCTGTAAGTACTTGATTCAAAATATATTGAAGTCAATGGGAGTCTTTCCAATTACTTCTGTAGGCTTTGAAGCCTTAGATGAGAAGTAGAGTAAGTTTTGCTATTCAAGAGATCAGGACAAAACCTCATGAATTGTCATGCCAAATTAACATAAAGGGAAAAATTCAAATCTGGTGTAAACGAACTTAACTCCAAAAATTCATCCGAGATGTACCTATTAATACCAGGCCTTGATTTGGAAAAAGGAGAGGAAGGGACTGAATGAGATATTTCAAGTCTTTAATTTTGTGATATTTTCATGATCTGCCAATATTTTTTTTTCTAAATTAAAGGCCAATTTTCAAACCTGAGTGCCCAAAGTTGGGCTTCTAAATACATACCTAACAGGTACTGCATGATTTTCAATGGCACTGAGCACCGTTCTCTCTGAGGGACTGATTACTCACCTGCGAAGCTGCGCTACTGCACAATTCAGTGGGAACACTGGTGCTGAGTGTCTGCAAGTAGGCGCTTAGCTCTTCCAAAATATCAAGCCTCTTTTACTGAAATATTTGTATATTATCACAGCTCAAAGAATCTACCCAAAAGATGAAAATCCAAAAGTGAGTAATTAAAACACTCACAAGAAGTAACAGTTAAACATTATTATTCCCATTATTCTGCAAATGGGGATGCTACACAGAGAAGTTATGGGACTTGTCTCTGCCACTGAAATCCTGTGTGATCGTAGTCAAGAACAAATCGTGGAAATCCTAACTCTTAAATCCTCTGGTCTGACTTGAAGAACCATTCCCACCTTTGAAAAGCAAAAGCCTTTTTAGGTATTTCCCATCCCCAAATAAAGCCAAAAAAATGCATTGCAACACACTGTCTCATTTAACAAAATGTTGTGAAATACCAAGCCAATTAGTTTCAATGAGACTTCAAGAAAGGAATTTTTCTCATGATTTTCATAAAGCATGTGATTGGGTTTTGAGTGCTTCCTATCAGAAGAATGAGCAGCATCCTCCCAGCTGCAACATCTTGCAAGAAAGCAACTGCTAACTCTAAAAGCGGCAAACATGAAGTTCACTCATGATCTTATCTTTATTTCAACATTCTTAAACTAAAAAATGAAAGCAGGCAGGTGACAAGCAGGGCAGGAAATTATCTGGTATTTTGCTTAATCTGTCCTCTCACCACGTCACATAGCTCTTCTCAAATCTGACTGTAAGCCTTGCAGATCATATACAGTAAACATGTCACAGCAAGCAACATTCATCCCAAATTAATTCCTTCATCAATGATGCAAAACTTTTTCTGACTGAAAATCAACAATACTATTTTCCTCAAAATTTGCAAATATTCATAAACTGAGAAGTTAAAAAAATATTTCACAGATTGCGGAAGTGGAGAAGTAAAAGACCAATGTTTTTTGTTGCACTGCTGTAAATCTAGAATAATTATAATGGTCTTGGCTCCAGACTTACACATGTGTAATTCAGATGAGACTCTAGATCCTAACAAATACACTACTGATGTCAGACTTATGCAAATCATCCAGACATTACTGGATGTATTGGTTTTCAGAGTGCAAGTCCCAGTTGTCCCTTCTACTTACATTACAAGATTTATACTGAAATCCTCAGCTGGTGTAAATCAGAATAGCTCCTCTGACATCAGTGACAGTATTCTGATTTACATGAGCCAAGGATATGGGTTGTAAAGATTATGGGCTGTAAAGATTATGGGCCAGATTCACTGGAATTTTCAGTTTGTTTTGTACCCCTTTGGTGATGCAAACCAGCCAGAAACCAAGAGAAACTGACGGTAGGCTGGTTTCATTGCTGCTTTGTATCAACAGAATGGGATAAAAGCAGGCCAAATGAACCAAGGAATCTGGTCCAATATAGGATTTTTAAGTACTTGTAGTTCCTCAGATGAAAAAGCGCTCAGTAAGTGCAAAGTTCTGTCACTAACAAACAGTAATGTGGGCCAGTTTTTAAAAGGTTACTGCAACAGGTGCACTTTCAGGAATGCACACCTACCTGTTGAACACACAAAACCTCACATGTGCACAAGAAGTGTAAACACACATGCAAGAATTCTTCACCATTCAAAGATTATGAACTTTTATGTAAACCTGTTTTATTAACCTTTGACATTATGAAAACAATGGGTCTGATTCTGCTTTCACATAGAACATAAGAATGGCCACACTGGATTGGACCAAAGGTTTATCTAGCCCAGTATTCTGTCTGCCAACAATGGCCAATTCCAGGTGTTCCAGAGAGAATGAACAGAACAGGTAATCATCAAGCAGTCCACCCCCTGTCACCCATTCCTAGCTTCTGGCACACAAAGGCTAGGGACACCATCCCTGCCTATCCTGGCTAATAACCATTGATGGACCTATCCTCCATTAAATTTATCTGCTTCTTTATTTAATCCCATTATAATCTTGGGCTTCACAACATCCTCTGGCAAGGAGTTCCTCAGAATGATTGTGCATTATATGAAAAAAAATACTTCCTTTTGTTTGTTTTAAACCTGCTGCCTACTTCATTTGGTGACTTGTTCCTGTGTTATAAGGTACCAAGCAGGAATAACTCCACTAAGTCAATGAAGTTATACTTAACTGAAAGCAGAATCTGGCCCTGAATGTCTAGTCACCTCAAAGAAATGCAGTTTATTACAGTATTATCTTCCCTACCCCCAAATATAGCAGTGTATTCATTGGACCACTTCTGAATGATTGTCTTCTGCCAAATAATAGGGCATCTTATCCCCACATTTTTGGTCTGGTGTTTGATCCATTTCTTGTGATGACTATGCTTAGATTTATCATCATTGGTCAAATGGGGTGTTCCCAGTAAACAGATAGTATATAGCAGTTAAGTACAATCAAGGAGACAAATTTTCTCTTACTTGCTGTTTGGAAATAAGTAAACAGAGACCTTCCTTAATACCCTATTTGCCTGACTTTTCATACCGTAGCAACAGTAACTATATACGTTGACAAAATAAGCAAAACAATCAGCCTGAGAACTATGACCTGTTCATTTGGAAACAAAATTCTGCCTACCAAGGCACTGATACAATCCTATTGACTTTGATAAGACTGCATCTTTGTATTTAAGGGGTGCATTTAGTTCTAATGTATGTATGTTGCTATCATCTCAAAGTACTATCCAGCCTAATAAACCACCAGATTTTTTTCTTTGCATCTCCCAGGAATAGGCTAATGTAAACCAATTAACTTTTGACTGCTCAAATTCTCTACTGAAAGCTGATGAACCATAAAATTCAAACTCAGGCTTGTGTATCTGAACCAAATGAGGTCTATGAATCACTTTATAAAATGTCAAATAAGAATAGGGAAAATAATGAATAAATAAGTTTAACAACAGGGTCAGTGATTGTCAGATACTGGGAAGTATACTAGATGGGAAAGTGTATTTTCCCCTTGCAGTTTTACACAATTTTTATACATCTAACCTAGCAACAAAAATATCACATTAATTATTTTATAACCATATGGAATGATGGTCTCCTAGTTGGTACTATGGACTTTAACAAATCCATTGTAATTATGGATTAGTGAATGAAAGGGGAATGATCATTCCTAATCTCTATATTTTGCTGCCATTTTTTTGCTGCTCAAATAAAAATTAAATGGAGGCATTAAAAAGAAAGTTACAACAGCAATATAAAGTTTATAACATACAAGGTGTTTTCATTTCTCTGCTAATAAGCCGATGACAATTCAAATGCTGGTGATGTGGGGGACTTCCTTCAAGCAATGGCAACTGGTAATTCACTTCTAAGTTACCAGTATGAATCTAACACAGATCAGTAGAACCAACCCATTAGAATCTGAAAGTTGTCTGATGCCTTATACAGCCTGAGGTTATGGTGTCCGTGCAAGGCGGCAGCCACAAGTAGTAGAAGTACAAATCCTCATTTGGGGGTGGACTTTCTGCTCACTGTTTGCAATATAAAAGGTGCCAATACAAGTAAACTACCACCAAAGCAGGTACTCATCTTGAAAGTCTCATCAGAATGACCAGGCAAGGGGAAAAAATAACTCACTGCTAAATATTAGAAATGGTTGGAAAAAATGGAATTTCCATTCCACAGGATATTCCAACCTTTTAAAACATTTATTTCAAAATTTCCCATGAAATAGAAATTCTGGGGAAAAAAGATCCAAGATCACTGAATTTTTTTGTTTCAATAACTTGCTTGAATTATTCTGTTTCAAATTATATATACACACATAATAAAAAATGCATTAAAATATAAAAAGGGAAAACTAAATGAATCAACATTATAAAACAATAAGAAATTCAAAATTATTCTGTCAAAAATATTGAAATTGATACAATTCCACAAAATGTTCTGAATTCAATGAAAATTTAAAAAAGCACCCAAATGATTTAGGCCCTTTACATCTCATTTTCAAAAGAGATTTAGGCAACTGGGCATCTGTCTCCTAAACTAAATACATGAATACTGAAATGAAATTACATTTATGACAAACAATACATTGTACCAGCTGCATTAGTATTTTATGGTTGACAATCAGTTACAAATAAACAACATTTCAGTAGTGGCCACCAACCCTAAGGGCCTCAGTTTTTTGGGTGGCAAACTTACCTTCTCAAGTTGAACACTCAATTGAGATTCTCAAAATCACAGGCCATTTTTGAAAATGTGATTGCAAGGACCTCATGTAAGTATATATCCTAACAGACTCTAAATGATTTCAATAAGTACGTCGTCTAAATTAAAGAGGACTTTAGGATCAAGGTTCCATCTAAACAAACTATTTTACTGAATTCTTTTCTGCTATTCCTCCTTAATGAACTGCACTGGTTAGCAATTACACAATATTGTGACGACTGGATTACCTATAAACAATTCTTCCAAGCAACCTCATTTAACATTTATAAATCTTTGCTTTTAGAAAGGATTGTTTTATTACCATAAGTACACAAGGAACAGACTGACCTAAACCAGAAGCCAGGTGACAGCTGCTTTCAAAATTCTAATCTGCTTATTGATACAAAAGGAGAAAGGGAATAAATGAGTGATTTCTGTTGAGTCCTATGACAGCTCTACATATATCTTACAAATTCTCCCAATTTTTATAGCTAGAAGCCAATTAGTTTGATTTCATACCTAAAAAGTAGTATAAGGAGGGGCAAATAAGAATCCATTGTACTGTATTATCATAAGGCACATTTTAAAAATCACTTCACACACTTCTTGCTTAGTCTCTCTCTTGCTTTCTTTCTAGCAAATAATTTTAAAAAATAAATTCAAATCTATTTAGCAATACACATTCAAGAAATATGAAGAAATAGCAAGGCATAGTAAATTTCAGCTGTTCTTTCATTGCTGGTATTATCAATAACAATGATCTCATACATTGTAACAGCTGTGCAGATGAGAGAGAACCTGTTTAATTTAACAATTCAAACAAATGGACTTCAGTCAGAAAACCCTGAGGGGATAAAAAGTCTTCTGTTTTCCTATAAGTGACTTTAGAACCACATTGAAACACCTTAATAATATTAAAGTAGTGTCAGAGGCATGTTAATCATAGTTTGTCCAGTTTTAGGGTGTTTCTTCCAGTCCTATGATGGAGGGTTGCCACATGAACAAATCAAAAGAACAATGATCTGTTCTTGACTCACAGTGACATGGAATGTGAGAAGAAAGAAGGGCACAATGGAATGGATGGCCAGAAATTCCACTGCATGCAAGAATGTCTCCTTTCCAAACAGAGGTGCTGGGATGTTCAGCCAAATGAGGGGTCTGACTGTCTGCATATTACATGGTGACTTTATGAAGATCAGAATGCAATAAGTAATGATAAATTTAGTTTTGAAAACCTGATTAATATAGTACCTTTGAACTTTTCCCATTTTCTGCAGAAACAGATGCATTGTATATACAGCACTGAAAAAGTCCTGCTAATTTCGCAGCCAAATATCCCTTACCGAAGAGTATCCTACACTATTATAGCCTGGGCACTCTTACACTGGAAAGTGGTACTAGGCACTGTTCTCTCAAATACTTAGTGTCAATCTGGAATTATCCTGGGAGTCTCCTTAGATATATGATGATGAAGACTAAGTGTTTGACTTTTTTGAATATGGGAAAGTTCATATCCCTGACTACCTTAAAGCTGTTGCTACTTGCCTCCAAACACACTGAAGATTTAAGAAAACAAAACAGTGTGATCTCATTTATGATGAATTTATATTTTCAGTCAGAGGCCAAATTGCAGTAACTATAGATTTGAGGCATCCTTTCTACAAACAACTAATTAAACAAGGTTCACTACATTTCCTACTTTAAGATTACATTTCCTTTGGTAAAATTCAACAAATGAATGTGTATTTAGATGTGTAATGTAACAGATAATACAGATGAGGAAAAAGACCCATCTAAATATAAACCAAAATAATATATTTTTAATTTAGATTTTAATCCCTAATTGAGCCAGTAGTCCAGAACTATGAACATTTTTGAAGCTCTACACAATGAAAATATGATGGCTACAAAGTGTAATAATAAGTACCTGTGCCATGTAAACTATGTACAAAACAAGGGGAAAATAAACTACCACCTGCTGGTTACTAGAGAGGCCAGTTTCTGCTTCTCCTTTCTTGGACGTGCAAACTGCTGAACAGACATTTCCTTGTTTTATGCAATCTGCATAGATAGGCCTGTAAAGCTAGTCTGACCACAAGAGATTAATAGCTTTAGCCAAATAATGTGGTAACCATGTGAACCATGAGCTGCTCTAGCTTGTTTGTGAGCCTCTCAGCAAGGTTCAACATGCCGCTATCTGCATCTTGTTGCCAGGAAACACAACATCGCTCTGGAATACAGGAAAAGTCAGGTTGCAGTGACCACAAGTGAACTCCAGGAAGACTCATAACTGACCCCAAACAGTTCATATCCAAAGGATTAGGAAGTTTCACTGACTAAGAAATACTGTTTGTCAGAGAGCTTCCTCCTACACTACAACCCCTAAAAAGTATTTTTCAGATTCATTATTCAAAACTAGAAGTACCAATGCTAAGTAAGTTCTGTGTCTGGGTCAGGGATCAGCAGCAACGTTGCCGCTCTTAGTCTGTCACTGTAATCCGCTGGTGGGCCCAGGACATTTTGTTTATGTTGAGCATTCAGAGGTACATCTCCTGCGCAGCTCCTAATGGCCGAGGCTTGTCATTCCTGGCCAATGGGAGCTGAGGGAAGTGGCAGCCAGTCTGTGCTGCTTCCTGCAGCTCCTATTGGCTGGGCTGCCGTTTTCCACAACTCCCTTTGGCTAAGAATAGTGAAGCACAGCCACTGGGAACTTTGGGAGAGTTATGCCTATAAATGCAGAATGTAAACAAAGTGTCTTGTGGCCTCCAGCGAATTACCCTGACAGACTGAGTCTCAAAGGTTGCCTCTGGTTTAGGATCATGCTGATAATTATCTTGTAAGGGTCATCGCTCAAGGAATGAAATAGTTGGATGTATAGCAATTGTTAGATCTTGATTCCACAATAACAATTAATATAAATCTTTTAACAGAAAGGATAAGGCTGTGGAAAATTGCTAGTATACATTAAGCCTTATTCTGTGACTTGATTTTGTAATATTGACAAAGGCCAAGCTCCCTCCAAGTCAATGGAGAGACTAAGATAAAGTTTATAGGATCAGCAACTTCGTGAGGAAGTTTAGCAACTAAAGAGTAGTAAATATATTCATAATCTCAATATGCTACCTCCTCTTTATCTTCCCCAAACCTAAAATGAACAATACCCACAAAGAGACTGCTGTTTAAAATTGATTCAATTCTGGATGTTACTTCAGCAACACAGTCTCTAGCTGGCTATAGAACACATTCAGAGTCGTTTTGGCCTTAGCATTCCTGGATGTTATAGTATTACACTGCTTCTCTCACCTTACTCACAGCAATAGAACATAATGTGTTCTACAATAATCCTGATACATTTCTGACTAGTTTAGACAAACTGCATGTACCAAGATACCAAAATATTCACCAGATTGGAACTATGCATCATACATGTAAAGTGAGGGCACTATCCTGCTAGTTTTACAATCTCAAAGATGAGAGGATTAAAGTGGCAGTTAAAGGGTATCTGATTTTTTAAATTATTCACTCCTGACAATGTAATTGCATTTTTTCCTACCTTGCTTAACATTTCAAAGCAGGTAATGAGCTACCTAGGTATTACCATTTTCCAAGGTATTCTCAGTAAAAGGGTGAGGAATCTTAGGTGCTATAACTGAGGAGGCTAGGATCAAAGAACCTAATCTAGTGCTCAATAAGGTCAATGGAAAGACTCACACTGACTTCAGTGGAATGGTTTGGACCTCTGGTGTCAAAAAGGCAAGTTCAGCTTTGTAACCAAAACTGAAACGTTTCTGACCCTGAAATATTAAGGAAGAAGAAATGCTACTCTTCAAAGTGTGTGTAGAGAAAACAAATTCAGAGAGAGGCAAATACTAGAAATTAAACTCAAGGTTTAGTCTGCGTATGTAGACAAAAGGGGTGTTCCGCACTCCTCAGAATAAGTGGCACTGCAAACTTCTCAGGCAGGGCAGAAAAGATAGTAATATGAAAATAAGAAAAGATCTGAGAAACTACAAAATGTAATATTTCCTTTAGTATATCTCCAACACTCTGAGCTTTGCATTATGATTTCTTTTAAAGGTCCTTCACTTGAGCCAAGAGAGGGAGATATTTAATCCAGCAGACTTACTTTTCAGTAGAAGGACTCAGGTAAGTGTAGTTTCATTTCTATATTACACAGTACTCCAATGGAGAGGCAAGAGTCTACACTTGAAACACTATGCAGCTGTTTCACAGTGTAGGCACTCCCTGCAGCAACAGGAGTGGTTCTCCCATCAACGCAGGTAATCCTGCAATACAGAAGTAAATGGGAATTTTGCCAATAGTTTTGGTGGGAGTAGAATCAAGCTGAAAGTGAGAACTGAATCTGAAAAATATTTATCCTCTTGTCATTGATTTTCAGGCAACAATACACTGTCTACAGAGGAAGCTATGACTTCAAATATGCAGTATGACATTCCTGTGTGAAATTGCTAAAGCTGGAGAATAGTGCTTTCAAAAGTTTTGAATAAGAACATTCACAGTCAAATAGCTAAGTTATCACCAAACATTCTTTGCTAGGTGAAATGTACACCATTCTTATATTGAATTGTTTAATTTGAAAATTTGTTTGGAACGTACTAATGAAAAATGTAGTTGGAATGTATGTGGTTAATCTGTATTCACATTAACTGAGCATTATAAGTGATTCAGGCAGGACTGACAACAGTGCTTTCAGTCTTTCTATTGTCCTCTTTAAACAGCCAGAAATGAGTAGTTCCTAATGCAGAGACAAGTCTTTGAATTCAGAAGTTGACCAGCCAGTGCTGAACAATAGGTGTCATACCAACAGTCGCTGCTGACCCTGTCAGTTCTAGAGAATATAAGCTTTCATTTTTCAAAAGTTTCTCTGGCACAAAAACCCTGTAGATGATAATCCATGTGTGTCAGTCTTACTAAACTTGTAAACAGGCATACAATAATTTCAGATTTGGTCAGTGCCTATGGATTACAAAGGGAGTATTACCAATAACATCAATGGACAGCCCTACTGACTTCAATGGGCAATGGACCCTAGGAAAGGTATGAAATGACTCCGTTCGTGTAGGCTGTCCTGTTTCACTCAAGTCTGATAAGTACCACCTTGATCATTTTAGCAGAGGTTTTCAGATGTTCCAGCACTATGAACTGAGTTTGGAATTAGACAGATGTTGAACAAGTAGATCACCACCATTCTTTTTCTCCCAACCTAGAAGTCCCTTAAAAATATGCTGTTCCCAGGTATTGTTATTTATCACTAAGCTAAAAGGGAGAATGTGCTACATGCTGTAAAAGAAAAGACAATCCCTACCCTGTAAAGTTCACAGTTTACAAGTATGTTTTAAAGGGTTTGGTAGCGGTGTGTCTGCAGAAGAGTGGAATATTACTAGTATTGGAACTTTAACACTTACCCAACTAGCTCAGAACAGGGAGACTGAAGGCAATATTACCATAAATGTCAATAAATACTGATATATTAAAAATATCTGAAAAAAATCTAGATGTATGGGAAAATAGCATTAAGTTTTATTTTCCTTAATTCCTTAACTGAGTGTACTTGGCTTTGCTAGTGAATGAATGCAATTACCTACCGGTACTTCACTTTGATCCTGTCATTGTCTGGATTGCAATAGAGTCTTTCCAGATGCTCCTGAGAGTCATTGGTTACACTTTGCCAGGTCTGAGTAGCAGTCCTCCTGATCTGCCAATGATAGGGCAAAACAGTATGATGTTTGGGGCAGTCACTGCCATAAATACAATTGCCCTGCAAAAACTCCACACAAATCTCTATCCCATCCTCCTGGTGGGTGTGATATTGCAGCTGGTTCAAGAGTTCAAACACAAGATCAAGTGAAGCTTCCTCACTTTTGTCCTGGAAGAGCCCTGCATTGAAATCATCATTTGGGTTCAAATTGTACTGCGTCATGCAGCTATTCTCCTGGAATAATCCAGATGTGTAGCTTTCCAGTATCTTATCTGGGCACACTGCAGCATCACTTTGGACTGAGTGACAAGGGTGATGCTGGAATGATTCATTTGTGGAATCCGCAGCAGTCCCAGGATTGGTTTCTGATGGGAAGCCTTGAACCCCAGATTGAATCTCCTGCTCAGCGTGACCAGGGGGAGGATGAGTCTCTGGCATTTGACCTTGCACATCTGGAGTTCCTGGCATCAGCACAGCCACATTACTGTCTGGCTGCGGACAGGGGGCACTGAGTTCCAGGGCCTTTTTCACAACGGGTTCACATACATTTCTATGACCTCCACTTTGGCCTCTGGGCACAAAGACTCCATCCAGGTTCCCTGCTCCCAGCAAACTGGTGAAGATTGGCCGCAAAGCCCTGAGAGTTTCTGCACCCAGCCTCTTCTGCACTTGCTGTTTCTTCTTGAAGCAAGGCTTTACTGGTGGGATCTTATCAGAGAGTCCTATCTGAGGAGGGAAGTCTTCTGAAGGAGGGCGCTTCATCCCCGGACACTGTGCCTGCTGCACAACACAGGCTGGCTCCAGTTCAGCATCCATCTAATAGACTCTGCTCTCTCCAAATCACTTTCAAACTCCCAGAGCCTCACAGGGGCCAACCTAGTGCAGAAGGGAAAACAAGACAGTTAATCTCTCTAATTGCTCATGGTTGACATGAACAAGATCACTCCTAGAGAGGATTTCAGGTCTACAACAGCAAACTCCTCCTCCTGTGTCTGTGGGTAGCCCCCAGGCACGCAAAGCATGAAACCGACTAAACTCAGACTAATTAATCCCAATCACACACTTGTAGTCTTCTCACACACAGAGTCTCCAAGATACACTCAGACATGCACACAGTCGCTGATGGACACAGGGAGAATAGGCCCTTCTTCCCAGACTGTTGTTTATTAGTAAATGGGGCTTTGGGTCATATTATAGAGAAGTATTACAGTTCCTTCTCTGTCTCACTCTCTCACAGACCCCTATTCTCACTCTATGCAGATAAATTTTCTTTCACACAGTCTCATATACCAACATACGTACACTTTTAAATATAGGGTTGAAATCCTGACCACATGAAAGTCAATGGGAAAGCTTCCATTACCTTCAATAGGAACCAGGATTTCACCTTTACTGCAAATACTTACCCACTGTTCCTCCTACCCACCCACAAGTCTCATAGATGCATAGACACTCCCATCTTATGTCTGGATACAGCCTCACACACCATACACTCTCTCACAATCTGACTCACATATACATCCTGCCCTTGGTCACCCTTGTATGACACACCAACAAGCTCACTTGCCTAACAAGGAGCTGGCAAGCTAGAATTGCACTACTCAAAAAGGGCATCAAGGAGTGATTTAATTTCTCAGGAATAAGGGAAAACATTTGTAACAAAAAAAAAAAAAAAAAGTCAGTTATTTACCAGAAGGAAAAAACAAATGTTTCCAAAATACATAAATTACATTTCTAGTGGGTTGCTGGAAGACAAAATGCTGATTTCTTACCCAAGAGTTTTATATATGATTACATTTATTTAATTAAAAACTATCCAAACTCACCACATGTAGCCTAACATTTTACTGTTTAGTACATCAAAGATTATGATTAATTGGAAATATGCATTCAAGCAGAGTAACTGAGTGTTCTGAAGTAAAACCTGTGAAAACCCAGATATGATCTAATTATTTTTTCATGCGGAAGGTCTGATCTGCAAAAATGATCTAGTTTTGGTTGCATATTTGTTATAGTGAAGTATTTATTTATAAATATTTCACATGAAATAGTGCTATCAGAATGGTCAGGAAAAGGAAAATAAAATTAGGCAAATGCTGTTGTGTTCCCTGATTTTAAGGTCTTAGGATTACTTTGAAAGGTGACTACCAGTCTGTCAACTAGAACACAAATTCAGCTAGAACACTTTTTTACTCTCCCACAGTTCACTATTAATCAGTTGTCTATTTTGAACCTTAAAATAAAACCTTAAAACTTCAGATAATGTCAAAGGTCCATCTGATTTAGGGCTTAAACATTCAGAATATAAGAGGATACAGAGTTACAGAAGTTGTATTATTCCACACCCAACTCTAGCAGCCTGTATGGTATGTAAGAAGTTCAGGGAGCCTTATTGCTGTTGGGGAACAACTGAGGGACTTAAAACGTTTTCAGCTATGTCTTTAATAATGCTACTGCATTTCAATGCTGCTATTGCTCACTTGACTGCTTTATGCCTCTGTGCTATAGTTTTTAAACAACAGATTTGGTTTGTATTACAAAACCGAGTTCTCCACCATGTCTATAAAAACAGAAACCTATGGGAATAATGATAATTACAATCTCTAGATATCTAAATTTAGGCACCTCTTTAATGTCACAACATGACCAGTATTATTTTGAAATGTTTAAATAAAGTTGCCCTGCGTCCAGACCTTGCGTGCCATGTTTTAGCAGAGACAAGTCTCATGGGTTACAAACTAAGCCCCTGAAAATAAGAAAGAGCCATCACAGATGCCCACCTCCCTTCACTTTGTTGGGGAAGCAATTCCCCCACCGCCCTAAGACAGGGTTGGACTGGTCAGCTGGGGACTTTGTCTCCTCCAGGGCGTACCTCCAGTCAGCAGCAACGCAGATCCGCACCCCGCAGTGACCTGCCAACCACACCGCTTTTGTCGCCCTCTCGCAAACACGACCAACTAGCTCGCTCTGCTAGAGGGAGGCCCCCGCATTCGGGATTAATTTGCAATCCACTTTACAAACAATACCTTGGGCTGGTGACAAAGATTTTACTGCTCGTCGGTTTCAATCAGACATGTACTTCCCTCCGTTCACAATACCTGGCTCTCCTGTCACAGCACAGGCTGAAATTGCTCTGCGGTTCCCCAAAAGCCAGCAGCAGAGCCCCAGGAGACGGGGGAGGTGAAGCCGGGGAGAGCGCCTTCGCTTTGGTCAGCAGCGGAGTCGATTCACTTGGCTGGAGGGGAGCTTGTGTTCTGGAGAAAGCGGCAGCCGCCTTCTTCCGCTTGCTCTCTGCAGCGTGTGAAGCTCATCTGGCTCTCACAGCCTTCCCGCCTGCCGATCTGTACGTGACAAACCACCCATTCCGCCCTCAGCAGCCGCAGCGCCAAGGCTCTCCAGATCCCTCTGCTTCTCACATGTTACACTCTAGCTGTTTTAAATATTGCTTCCTGAAAGCACTCGCCAGGCAGCTGCACGACTCTGGGCGGAGCTATGAGGCGGCAGCCAAGCTGCACCTCTCGGTACCAGGAATCCAGGCTCCTCCCTCCCTTTCTCCCACCCCAAGTGTGTGCGAGCGAGCCAGGGAGAGAGAACGCTCCTGTTTGTTTGTATAGCTCGGATTCTGTACTCTCTGTGCGGCTGAAAGCCCCACGGGGGCTGACTGAAGGGTCACTTTGTTCTGGAGACAGACAGGGGGAGAAATATGCACGGAAAGATTCCGTTTTCGGTCACATACTGAACAAATCATCATGTTTTAGTCCTTACCTCCCCTTTCCCTGTAATAAGAACTGCACTTCCAGCAAACAAACAAACCACCCAACCAGTAAAACACAGAGAGCTGAACTGGAAGGCTCCCATAAAGTATGATCCTGTAAGTAACATACACACGTCCACCCACCCACCCACCCGCTTGACACACCCGCTTGACATAATTTCCTGGGAAAAGAATCCGCTTCTGCTTGTAGACTATAATCAGTGTCGGATCTGAAGAACAAAAAACAAGGGGCCAGGAGAAATGGAGTGGAGAGGGAGTGATACTATTTATATTAACTGTAATGTTAGTAGGCAGGTTTGGCACAAAGGAAATTTTCCCTGAAGTGTTTTAAATGAAACATTTTTAAAATAAGTAGCATCTCGTCAAATAGCTTTATTTTTTTTTTATCTTGCCTGTGTGGGTGTCGGATCTGAAGAACAAAAAACAAGGGGCCAGGAGAAATGGAGTGGAGAGGGAGTGATACTATTTATATTAACTGTAATGTTAGTAGGCAGGTTTGGCACAAAGGAAATTTTCCCTGAAGTGTTTTAAATGAAACATTTTTAAAATAAGTAGCATCTCGTCAAATAGCTTTATTTTTTTTTTATCTTGCCTGTGTGGTTTTAAAAAATTATTCTAACAATTACGTCCCTATCTTTATTCTATGCTGAGATGAACATTTGCTAATAAGTATTAGACTATGCAAATCAAATCAAATATTCTTAAAAGTTTGGTAGTAATCAGGTAATTGAACAATACACACTCAGGAGATAATAGAAATCCTGGAGCATCTGACTTGGTTTTATAACTAATTTTAGATATAAAGGCCCCTTCTCCCGTATTCCCTGTACACCACAAATTTCCACTGTAGCCAATGGGTGCTTTGGGTTTGCAAAGAATGTAGGATTAGTCCCAAATAGCTATTTATATATGAAGAGAGAGAGAGAGCGAGCGAGAGAGAGAGGGATTCTACTCTAATAAATGTAACATAACATCAATCCTCATGGTTTAGTTAGGACAGTGGCTCTCAATCTTTCCAAACTACTATACCCTTGCAAGGAGTCCGATTTGTTTTGCATACTCCCCACCTCACTTACAAAAA